AGGAAGAACAGTAAAATGGTAAATAATTATTAAAATAACTATTTCTCTGTCTTTCTTTTGCCAATGGCAATTTTACCACCATATTCAGGGAACTATACAGGCTTCCTCTGCTTGCACTTTTATCATAAATACATTTAGGGTTTTTTTCCCCCCTCTCTTTATGTTCCTTGAAGCCACATTACATTGGCTCTGTCACAGCAAATTACTATATTTTTCATCAGGTGCACTTAATAATGGATATAAGTAATGAAATGAAAACAAAGGTAAAAATGTTGTTGATGGAAGAAGTCATCTTTGGGAGTCTATTCTGCCTTCCATTCTGTTGACAGAACTCTGCTGTCCATTACTTTGGTTTTGCCCTGGTCTAATAAGCAGAATACAGACCAGTAAGTCTAAAATAATAATGTTCCTGTTGTGTACCCATTTATACTTTCATGCAGTCATTCTCAGTGTTAAGTAATAATTAGTAATTCAACTACTTTATCACATGTAGGGGAGAAGGGATTACATTGGAACAGTTCATAGAGACAGACTATTATTTACCAATAAAACTGAATTCCATTAGAGGAACCCAAGACATCCTTGCCTGGAAGGATATGGGAGAATGACAGGAACTCAGTTTTATGAGGTAACTGTCACAGTGTTATCAGACTGTCTGCTACTTCAGGAGAAAAGAAGAAAATGAAAAAAAAATACGCATAGAAGTTGTATTTAAGTGTACAGAGGGCAACGCAAAGTAGTTGAACATGTTTAAATAATCTTTATTGAACGTGCCATTAAAATAAAAATCAGACTTCTTGTGATTACTAATTGATCTATTTCTCCAATCTGCATCCAAACAGATTTGCAATGTCACATTGTTCCCAAGCCTGCTAGTAAGCTGACCAGTTTAATGTTGTAAAGCTGCTTACATTTTGTCAATGAAGCACTGAATTTGAGGGGTCTCAACCACCATACTAGTTATGCCTAAGGAAAAACAAGCCACTCTGCAGGAAAAAACCCACAACAACAGATACTGCAAACATGAGAAAAACAAGCAGTTATCACTGAGTGTCTTCAAACTTCAAAAGCTTCCCCTACCACAATTACAAGATCACATTAGTCAGGGTGACTTGAGAATCAAGTCATGGCCCAGCAAGTTGTTGCAATTAAAGAAATCAACATGTACGAAGCACTGTTAATAGGTGAAAATGGATACAGCAAACCTAAGACCTTTTCTTTCAAGCATTCATCCTCAAGGCAAAATCCCCAAGTACGATTCCGTTACAGGAGAGTGTTGTCTGGATTACAGCACTCTACAGTTTAGCTCTTGCTCTACCATAGAACTATAATCTAGCTGGTTAATCTTTGCAGCTTCCACCCTTGACCTCTGCTATTCTTACTACCTCACAACTGCATATTGTAGCACTTGTAATAGTCTGAGAAACACGATACTGCAATCCTTAGTGCCAGGGTATAAGAGGGGTGCTGGCTAATTCGCAGCAGGAGCCTCCTTCCTGCTTCCCAAACGTTCAAGTCTGACCACTAGCAATTTATAGCATTTAAGAAACATTGAAAAGCTTACTGGTTTTCCTGAATTGAAGAATCTGACATACTTAATGGAGTGCTAAAGCATTCCCTAGCGGTCTGGCAGGTTACAGTGAATGTAAAGTTGGCAGTGTAGAAGTTCATTTCTTGTTTCGTTATTTGTCCAGGCTCCTACCATTTAAAATGGACAATTCTAATAGACTAAGGAGAAAAAACCCTTCAGGATAAAGTGATATTTACCACCTCCTCAGGATTTGAAAGATTTCCATAATCAGCTAAGGATTTTCCACATGGCATCCAGTTGTAGTGTTCAGGGAGGTCCTAATATACAAACAGATGGTCGCTTCTGTTTTTATAGATTTCAAAGTTCATTGGTTTCAAGACAGGCTGTTTTAAGAGCCCCTGCAGCTGAAGGTCTTCAAGGCAAGGAGATGCAACAGCAACAGGACTTCTGGATGCATACGGAATCCTTGAAACCACACAATATAGACAGATAATTTGTTGCTATGTTTTCTTCTCTTTACAGCTTCCCTTGACAAATACTGATGTTCTTTGTCTAAACTTAATGGTCCATGTCCCCATCCCCCCTCAAGCATTCAGCAGGTATATACACTTACAGAACATGGACTGGACAACCTTTTTAAACTAGAACAATGGTAATATTTTCCACCTTAGTTTAGGTAAAAGAAATTACACTGCCAAAGACAGAAGTAAGTAACGCAGTACGACAGAATCTTCTCTGTCACACATTGCAGGAGGCCCACCATCTCTCTTTGCAAAGTCCTTGAATTATAAGGACGTATCATGCAGAAACTACATGTCACAGTTAGATACTGTAATTACAACCGACAATTACTGTTATCAGCCAGTTGGCAAGTTACCTGGGGGGGTGGGAAATTAGGAAAACTGTAATAACAAAATAGAATGCATGGAAATGCTATCAAAACATTAATAGAACAATGCCAGAAAAGCTCACTATTCTTTAAATACTCTTTATTAAGAATATGGAAAAAAAAATCTTTAGAAACTAAAGATGTCTTTTAACATTAAGGTTCACATGAAAATTTCTTACATTAAATGTTTTTACATGGACTCCAAATTGTTTCTTCTTTTTAGCCACACAAAGAGTCTTCTGTACCCAGCTGAGCTTTTTAACTCACTGCAGTGAGGGGACCTGTACTGAGGGTGCAGACGCCATCTGAAACGAAAGCTAACAGTTAACAACAGTCCTGGTTGAAAGGGTCAGCCCAGCAGCCCCACCGCAGCTTGCTGTGCCTGGAGGGAGGAGGGGGGGGTCCAATCTGCAAAAGAGCTCTGTCCTTCAGCTGCTGACTTAGCATGTTGTCACAGGAGCCTGGAGAGCATGGCTAATGGTGCCCACAAAGGGAAAACAGGGGCCAAGGTCACGCTGCAGCATTGTCTTGGGACATTACTCAGTTTGGGGACAGTCCTACTAGGCTCCTCTTAGCTTAGGCTCGATGAGAGGGTGTAGAGAGAGACAAGTAGCTGCCCCTAGGAAACCTCCATTGAGACATAGTTTTAAATCCTTCTCCCATTGATCACACAAGGAATCGCTTGCATGAGATGCTTGTGCATCAAGTCCACATCAAGTTATTCCCTAATTTACCCACTCAACGGAGATAGATTCATTCATATTTTCAGACCAGGAAAGACAATTTAGTCATAAGGGCTCCCTGAGAACTGCACTAAGTGACTCCAGCTGAGCTAGCGAGCATCTTTTAGGAAGTCACCCAACAGGTGGGAGCAGAACCTTAGAGCAGGGCTGGTATTAAAAGGGGCTGAAGGTAGATGATAAATGGTAACCACAAGCCTGCCCAAAGCACTTCGCAGAAGAAGCAGGGCAATTGATGATAGGGCAGGGACTTTCAGCATGAACCAACACCCAGGGCTATTCTTTATCATGTGCTTGAATCACAAGTTGAGTGGGGCAAGCCCTGTAATCCCCCCGAATTACGTGGGTACATTGCTCTTGCTCATCAATTAAACAATAAACATAGCAAGTTATAATGGAGATACTAGTATTTGCATACTAAGATATCCTGCAAGGCAGAGCCAGAAGTGAAAAAGTCATTTAACGCTTGATGCTCTGCCATCAGCTGGAGCTCCAGAACATCCTGTGAGTCTTGAGAACATTCATATAAACCCAGTGGTCCCACTTCGCTGCTGGGGCGTTGCACAAAGGCTAGTGAAGCCGCCAATGTGGCTTCCTCTCAGCCCAAAGCCTTTGGCAGGCACTGAGACTGGCTGAACCTCACCCCTGCCAGAGCTCTGAGCGGGCTCTGCAGCCTTCCAATGGCAGCACACAGCCAAACGCACCTCTTCCTTCTGGGTACTCCACCTCCTTCCTTCTCTAAAACTAATGGGGACAGAAATAAGCCACACTTCTCCATTCTCATTTTCCTGTTTTTTTCTTTCCATACCTTACTTTTCCATACTGCAGACCTTCTACCCCTTCATTTTACTCTCCTCTCTTGTTTCCCTCCCTTTCCCCCTCCCCCTGCTTTCTCTCCCTCTGCACTTTGTGAACTGCTGCTGCAGTGCTGAAGTCCAAAGTTCAGTAACTTGCTAAGCACACAGATAAATATGAACCTTGGAGAATTTACATTGCTCCAATGTAAACAGATAGCCAAGGGTCCCTTTATCAGCACTGGCTCAGGACAGTCGTGGGGGGTCTGAAGTGGCTCAGTTTTGTATTTTGTTTTTTTTTG